CAAAGTGGTAGTCGTGCGCATATTTTCAACCCGGGGGGGTACTGCCATATGAAAAGGACGGTGATGCTCGTATAACCTTTTAGGGGATAAAAGCGATTTTTGTGTTCGTTCTCAAAAGGTCAACAGCACGAGCTTTTGCGGTACCTTTCAAGGTATTGAGCTAGAAATAATGTGTTGTTTGGGAATTGGTACCTCTTAGGGGTGAAAAAAATTTCAAGCCACATCAACAAAATAGGATCTTGGTAGCTCTTAGGGGTTCTTTTCAAAATTTTTTTACGACCAGCCCCGTCCTGTTTATATTGGAGTCTCCCCGGGATATTTTTGTTAGCCTATCTTGGGACGCCATGTAACGTTTTAAGTGCCTAATGGTTTACAAACACGAGGTCGTAGAGCCTTGTGCAATGTATGCACACTCTAGCTGATTTAGTAAGGGAAATTTTCATCTTTTATAGAAAAAACAAAAAAAACAAAAAAAAAACAACAACAACAAATACAGTACATTGCAGGTATTTTGGTGTCCAGTGCTCACGTACATTACTGGGCGCAATATACCTGAATTTATTCAAGAGCCGGTAATCTGTTCTGTGACATTTGGTCGGGCAAAGCCACAGCTGAATATAAAAAAACCCGGAGAAGCACATTTATGACAACATAGGAATACAAAAGAAAGTAGACTATAGAATTACATGCATATGTAGCGTCACTGGGGTTAGTCGGGTTGAGTAGTAACATATATCTAGAGAAAATAGATGACACCCGGACAAGTTTCTCAGGAAAAGAAATGAAACATAATAAAAACAAATGAAACATAAATTCAAGAAAGTTTTAAAAGATGCAAAACTTAAGTGGGAGAATAGGTGAAGATGTATAAGAATACTCATCCTCTTTCATTAAAATTAGAGAGAGTTTAAATATAGTTCGCTGCTTGTCCAAGGAATTCGTAGCTTTACTGGACTATACTTCCAATGAAGATATTGTCCCTGACTGATAGATAAAAAGTCGTAATGTATAAAATGTACGAGGATTGAGGACGAGGCTCGAAATTGATGCAAAATATTCACTTTTATCTGCTGGTTTTACAACAGTGGAAACTCTGCCTTAGGGTTGCCTCGTTAAAACGGTCACCTCGTCATAACGGTCACCTTTTTTTGTCCCGGCGAAATGGCCATTAATGCGGCCATCCTGTCAATACGGCCAACCGCCACATTCTGTAATCCCAACCTGTACGGCCACTCAAACCAGTTATGTTCATTTTTCAGTTGTTAATATTGTATGTACTGATCAAAGTTTCAATTTTTTTTAAAAAAATTATATCTACATTTCGATGCTTATGAAAGAAAAGTCGTTTAGAAGTGCAGTTGTGATGTTTCTGTTACGACGTCACTCAATTTAGACCAGTCATGAAATTTTTACCCTACCCAGTTAATACGGCCAGATTTTCATGGCCCGTTTTGGACCGATATAACGGGGTGTAGTTATTTAGTAAGTTAGTTTTGGTAGCTTTTAGTTAGAAAGCGACTCTAAGTAGATATTTTTTTAGTTTCTATAATTTTTTCCGTACTTATTGAATACATGCTAAAGTAGATACACGTGTTTTAAACGATCAGAACCTCCATAAATTGCCGGTTTTCACTGTCGCGTCATCAAAAATAAAAGTCGCAACCTTTCAGTAAAATAAGTCATGAATCTGGGATATGATAGACGATTGATAAATAAACAACCTCACCGAGATTTAAGTCTGTTACGTGTTATGTGGAGAATGTTTCACCTAAGTTAATAGAGCTTTAAAAAAGTAACAGAAACATCTGTCATGGAGTTTTGCAACTGAAACGAAACGTTATTACGCTAGAGTTCCGACACATTCGAATTAATACTTTTTCTAGTGCATGCAAGAAGTGTTCAGTTAGCAAAACCTTAGTGAGCGATAACTCACCTTTTGACCTACGTGAGAGCCCCCTCGATAACAAAGTGAAGAGCCCTTTCGAGCTTAAACGTTGTAAAAAGTCAAGTTCTTAGAGGGGTCTTACATCTGATGAAACTAAAACTTCAGAAGAACTGGTAATTTTTAATTATGAAAAGTGATTACGTCACACGAAAAGTGGCAATTCAAGGGCTATTGCCCTTAATGTAATTTTATCATAAGTAAGTTGCGGGTTGATTCACTTAATATGGTTTTGCATGTGATTGCTTATACATTTGAAATCTCTGATTTGATCTCCTTTACGAACGCTCGATGTCAGTCCCGAACGCCGGCGTTCTTGTTTGATTGTTACCTTAGCGTCCGGGGAGGGTCTGGATGGAGGTTAGGTGATAGCTGACCGTCTGTCTGTCGGAAAATGACGCAGTTTTTAACTGATAACTGAGATTGTGATCTTATAAATTTACTGAAAGCTGAGAGACGGTGACTGATAGCTGAAATCAGTGTGCATTTTGTATGATTCAATATTTTGAAATAACCGTGCTATTTTTCTACATCGGTACAGCATAACAAGAAAGTAACTTCTGGCTCATTAAAGTTGAATAATGTAACGTACATACCCACGTCTCGTCAAGCCTCTGTATGAATTTGTGTTATCGTGCTGTCACCATGACAGTAGACCACGAGTAGTCCCTCTTTCACTTAGTCCGTCGAGCGAGACCGTCATAAACCGCGAAGAAAAAAATGGCTTCGTGAAATCCTGGGAGAGCGGCCATTTTTTCTCTCGCGGTTTCCTTTCGCGTCAGCCACGACGGACTAGGCAAAATATCAAAAAAACAGGGATTACTCGTAGTATAACATGACAGCGACACCATGATCTACTGAAGACAGCTAGAGATTTCTACATTATGCTCAGATTTTCACTATTATGCTTGAAAAATCTTATTGTTATGTTCGAAAGGCGCCACTTTTATGCTTCATCATGCTCACATAAAAAAGCAAAAAGGCCAATATTTACCCTGAACACTCATTATATGAAATAGGAGCAACGCACTGGTAATTCGCCATTACGTTGGCTTGATTATTGTCGCCATGAATTTTCTAGTTATTGAAAAACTAGTCCTGATGCAGCAGAAGAGGACATGCGCTGTGTGTACTGTGAAGTCAGGCGAGTGGTACACAGTTTTCTATTGGCCTGCCCAAAGCCCCCAGCCGTCAGCTAGTTTTTGACACTACGGTATAGAACCTCGATTTAACGAAGTGTCAAGGGACTGGGAAAATTGGTTCGTTACACCGAGGGTCGGTTTTGCGGAAAACAACCAAAATATTCGTTATATCGAGGTACAGTTAATAGTGGGTTTTTTAATGGTTTTTATTTGGGCAATCCTACATTTCTGGATCTGATCGATTACTGTAAATATCATTTGGGCTTTAATGTCTATGGGAAGCTACAGTACACTGTACAGAACTGTAACTAGCTACGGCACCGGAAAACTAAACAGGTCAGCAAAGTTTTAACAATTTCAACTGACTTTTACTTCAAGAAGTCTTCGAAAATAAAGGAGTTAATATCTGTTGTGATGTGTTGATAGCCGGGGTCGAAAGTCTCAATGTCTGCATGTAAAATGAGCTACTATAAACGTTAAAGTTGTTTAATTGTTATAAGATTAAAGGATTTTCATCCTTGTTTGTCCTTCGTATTTATCTTTTGCCACGTGTTGACATTTGTTCGTTATATCGGGGTATATTGTACGTTTGGGCTTCTGGATTGTGTTCGGTATGACGGGGATTTCGTTATATCGAGGTTCTGTTCCATACATTTTACTGTAACTTCGGTCGG